TATCAGTGAAGATATGGAGAAAAATGAACCCTTGTACACTGTTGATGGGGAATGTAAGTACAACCATTAGGGAAAACAGTATACGGGTGCAATGAATGCTTATAATTTTATGTTGTCTTGGCATACTATTGGAATGCAGGCAACCTTGACACAGTTTCCAGTTCCGTATTACATCCAAGTGGCTCCAGCCAACGGCCAGAGATAAGAACTTAGAGACATCTCTTCTGCCTAGCAGACTGGGTGCCCAGCTTTCCCACTGCTTTCTTTAAATGGACCATTCAAGCATTTGCCTGGGAACTTAAAGTGACCCACATCCTATTCCCCCCAATATACTACTAGTTGCCATTCTTTCTTTTTTCTCCCTTCGTGCACTCGCTGACTCCGTGTATTGGCTCCAAGTGTGCAGCATATCTCCCACTGTCTGTAAGTTCTAAAACCTCTTAAATTTTCACATTGTGGTTTTATCATTGAAGCCTGCCTCCAATCTGACCCCTGAAAGCAAGAACACCCTGAAGGGACCCATGCAGGTGGATCCCCTTTTGTCCTGGCCTCTGGTGGCTGCTACCAGCTAAGTTGATAGGGGAATACCCAAAGAGTTTCATTTAAACCAAGAAGTTCCCTCAAAAAAATTAAAAATAGAACTACCACGTAATCCAGCAATTCCTCTTCAGAGTATATATCCAAATGAGATGAAATCAGTGTTTACAAGAGATATCTACACTTCCATATTCATTGCAGCATCATTTACAATAGTCAAGATGTAGAATCAACCTAAGTATCCATCAGTGAATGTATGGATTTAAAAAATGTGGTATATATACACAAGTGTTCCATTCAGCCTTGAAAAGGAAGGAAATTTTGTCATTTGCAACAACATAGATGAACCTGGAGAACTTTATGTTAAGTGAAATGAGCCAGGCGCAGAAAGGCATGATCTCATTTATAAGTGGAATCTAAAAAAGTCAAACTCACAGAAGCAGAGAATAGAATAATTGTTACCCTAAGGGTGTAGCAGATGGAGTCTGGGAAGATATTGGTCATAGGGTACAAAATTGCAGCTAGACAGAAGGATACATTCAGGAATCTATTGACAACATAGTGACCATAGTTAATAACTAGGTATTGTATTGTGCATAAGAAAATTGCTAAGAGAACAGATATTAAGTGTTCTCATAACAAAAAATGATAAGTATGTGAGATAATGGATATGTTAATTAGCTTTATTTAGCCTTTAGACAATGTATACACATATCAAAACATCATGTTGTATACCATAAAAATGTATAATTTTTGTCAATTAAACAAGTAAACATATAAAGAAGAAGATAACATTGGTGTGTGTGTATAGATACATATACACTATATATATATATATTTCTATATATAATATTCCTATACATAGATACAGAAATAGTCCTAGTCCTGCCACATATATTTGGTCAATTGATTTTTGACAAAGGCACCAATGTAATCTGGTAAGGAATGGCACTAGAACAACTGAACATACATATGGAAAAAGAGGACCTTTGACTTCTACCTCATACCATACACAAAAATGAATTTGAAATGAATCATAAATCTAAACATTAAAACTAAAATTATAACATTTCTAGATGTAGCAATAGGAAAAATTCTCTTTGACCTAGAGTTAGGAAAAGACTGCTTAGAAAGGAACTATCTAAAAAGCAGGAATCATGAAAGTAAAAGTTAATAAATTAGACATCAAAATCAAAACTTTCTGCTATTTAAAAGATGCTGTCAAGAAAATTAAAAGAGAAGGCACATGGTAGGAGAAAAATACATAAAACTTATGTATCCAACAGGCATATACAGATTATATAAAAGGGATCCCTTTCCCGGAGTCGGGTTGCTTAAAAAAAAAAAAAAGGGATCCTTGTTACTGAGTTCAGTAATAAGGCGGCCAATAACTGGATTAAAAATGTGCAAAGATTTGAACAGTCTTGACAAAGAAAATATATGAATGACCAATAAACAAAAGTTGCTCAAAATCTTTAGTCATTAAAAAAATGCAAAGTAAAACTATAGGAAATATCACTTTACCCTGACTGGAGTGATAAAAATTAAAAAGCCTGTCCACACCAAATGTTGACAAGTATGTGGAGCAGACAGGGCCTTCATGTTGATGTTGGAAGAGTAAAATGACACCATGACTTTGTAAAAATATGCGGTAGTTGCTTAGAAATTTAAATATATGCCTGCAATCTGACCCAACAATCCATTCCTAGGTAATTATCTCAGAGAAATGAACGCATATGTCAGAAACAAAAACTTGCACACAATGTTTACAGCAATTTTACTCATAATAGCCAAAGCCTGAAATTAGACTAGATGTTAGGAAAAGTTTATCTGAAATGCTTTAGTTATTTTAGAAATAAAGCCTGGAATTTTAAAAATAAAGATTAATAATTTTCTGTGGATATAATAAAAGTATGAAAGTGTTTCTTAAAATATTCTTTATATGGTCTCTATTTTCAAAAATTACTCCAAAAAAAAAAATAGTAGATGGCAGGATCTCATCATGCCTCACACTTTTTAACCATCATATCTGGATGTCATACAGTTGCCCCTTCATGCTCTTCTTTTGTTTATTTTTCAATAGTTTTATTGAGGTATAACTGATACATAATAAATAATAAACTGTACAGGTTTAAAGTACACAATTTGATAAATCATCACTATAATATGATAGTGAATAAAACCATTGCCCCCCAAAATTTCTTTGTGCCTATTTGTAATCCCTCCTGCTGATCCCTCCCCAAAATACCCCCTCCTGCAAGCATCCATTAATCTGCCTTTGTCATTATAGATTAGTTTGCATTTTCTAGAGTTTTACACAAATGGAATCATACAATATATATATACCCTTTTGTCTGACTTCTTTCACTCAGCATAATTATTTTTAGATTCAACCATGTATATAAATAGTTAACCTCTTTTTTATTTCTGAGTCATATTCCATTGTATGGATATATTAATACCACAATGTGTTTATCCATTTGCCTGTTGATGGAATTTGCATTGTTGCCAGTTTTGAGCTCTTACAAACAATCCATTCCTAGGTCATTATCTCGGAGAAATGAACACATATGTCAGAAACAAAAACTTGCACACAATGTTTACAGCAATTTTACTCATAATAGCCAAAGCCTGAAATTAGACTAGATGTTGGTCATATTCCATTGTATGGATATATTAATACCACAATGTGTTTATCCATTCGCCTGTTGATGGAATTTTTATCGTTGCCAGTTTTGAGCTCTTACAACAATCCATTCCTAGGTAATTATCTCAGAGAAATGAACACATATGTCAGAAACATATGCTACTATGAATATTAACATACAAGTCTTCATACAGACATATGCCTTCATATCTCTTGGGTAAAATATGCTGAACCATATGCCATATTCATGTTTAACTTTTTAAGAAACTGCAAAACTGTTTTCCAAAGTGGTTGTAGCATATCACATCCCCACCCACGGGCTGGGTGTTCTAGTTTCTCCACACCTTCACTCCCTTCTTACAGTATACTCCTAATATCACCTCAACCAAAACAAGCAACTCTGCTTGTTTTATTTAGATAAGCTTTTGCCAGCAAAACTTCATACTCCAGGCAGGGGTCCTAAAACTTTTTAAACAGGGGGCCAGTTCACTGTCCCTCAGACCATTCGTTGGAGAGTGCACACTGTGGGCCCGGGATGAGTCAGCTGCTAAGCAGGACAGGCAGCGGCTGCAAAATCACCTGGTGGGCCGGATAAATGTCCTCGGCGAGCAGCATGTGGCCCGTGGGCCGTAGTTTGAGGACACCTGCTCTAGAGAAGAAAACCTGCTACAAGCAGCCTTGTCAATGCATTTTCTCAACAAGGTAGCCCTTTTTCTAAATAATAATAATAATAATAATAAATTATTATTTTGGCATAACCATTTGTATAATTGAAAAGTCACCAAATACTTCATTTTAAAGATTGAATTACATTGATATACTATAATTTGCTAAGTAATAATATTGGATATTTAGTTTATAAAATGAGTTAATGAAGAATCTATTTTAATTTAGTTGTCTTTCTTTAAATATTTTTTTCCAAAAGAATAAATTAATTGAAATCACTGCACAACTTACAATAGAAATTTAGATAAACACATGCTTATCCAGTGAAATAGGTTTTCAGAATTAGGTAGTTTAAGTTTTCATACTTTTTTCTAATTCACATTAGATACGAAGAAATTCATTAGTTCAAATGTAGACAAGGAAATAAATATAAGAAAGGGATCTTCTCAATAGCAATATCATATGACTTATCATCTCTCTGACCTCAAATATGGACAAAATGCAATTATACAGCAACATTACACATATGCATTGTCTAGAGTACATAGCCTGGCGTGAATGTGGCCTGAAAACAGAGTAAGTACATTCTGAGAAACCTATTAATAGTTCTCCACCATTTTTAAGATAAAATCTTGCCTAGCTGGATAGTACCGTCTTTCCAAGAAAATTTCCTAAAACTCACTTCCTTGCACTCCAAAATGAACCACAGAAAACTTCTGAAATGTTAGCTCTCTGGTAATATGAAATTGTTTGACACTAAAGATTTGCCTATGTTGACAATTTTTTTACATTCTATTCACATTTAACATGCACTTGTTTGTCTTCCTCGGCAGTCTGAAAATTCCTTGAGTGCAGAGATCATTTCTTTTCTGCCTTTCATCTACTAACGCAGAACATAGATTGCAGGGTACAAACTAGGCATTCAATAAATTTCATGTCAAGAAAAAAAATAAACACCTGCATCCTATATCAGAAGTTTTATTGTCTTCGAAATTTTTCAGTCCTATTGGGATCCTAAAAATCTGCAGTTCTGACAGACTTTTTAATGGTCTTACTATTCTTAAAAGATCAGAATTTATATAAATATTTTTGCCAGTCATACATATGAATAACTTCTAATGACCGAATGATTTTTTTTTATCTATTTCAGATGTGCTATACTACATATCTGAACATCACAAGTTTCTGTGTTGCATTGGTTGGTATGATAGCAATAACATTTGAGTTAGCAGCACAGAGGGCGAGTAGACATGTTCCTATTTGGCCACATGTAAGTACCAGGATTCTGTAAGAACTTCATCACAATTTTAGAATTATGAATTAAATTATTTGATAAATGATCAGAGTATTTAAGTATCATGCAAGTCATGGGGATGACCCTCATCATTAGTTTACTCTTTGGTATATAAAACTACATGTTTATATTCCTAAACCTAGGGCCACCAAAAACCTCAAGTAACAAATGGAAGATATTTAAGATATTAATAGATGTATTTTGAGTGATTAAGCATTACATTGGTTATTTTTATGATGGGCAACTCAGTTCTTTTCAGGCACCTACATTTCTGAGGCCAGTTCTCCCAGGCCTTAAGAGATCACATTTGTTGCAGCAAGGCTTGGTATTGGGGAAAAAGAAATGGCATCCTTGATGTGCCTGTGATACTCAGGGATTTATGTTCAATATCAGGGCTGTAGTCTATAAATGTATGCAATTTAAAATGCATATGACTCAGTTGTATGAGAATATGACTATGTGGACATTTTTGCACTACCTGCTTTGAGTCTGTCCATCTGTCAGCAGGTCTGTATGAGCTGAAGTGTGTCCATGTTTGTATTTCAGTGTCTATGTATATCTGTGTTTCTAAGCATGTGGGACTCTGGACATATGTACACTTATCTATATAAGTTTGTTGGTGTGGAGAAAGGGGGCTAGGAGGAAAAGATTGAAGTTCAGTGTTAAGTTGTGTAGGAAGTGAAGCCCATAGGTGCTAAAGTCTTCTCTAAGATTCCTATCCTTCTGCTCTATCCCGTATGCTAAGGCTTCACAGAGGGCCTTTAACCGAGACCTGGAAACCAACTTTTTGAACTGAGCCCCCAGATGTTGCCTATTTTTAAGTTCCTAGCCTAATTAAGTAAGCTCTCTTAGGCTGCTATTCTGTCCCTTGTCCAAAAACTCTTGGTTAATTAGTTCCAACGTATATACTTGTTTATATTATGGCGGATCTTTCTTATGTCTATGTAGCTGTAAAAGTGATTTTACAGTGAATATGACTGCAAACTTCCTCAAGTAATGATTTATGTGCCTGATTCAATAATGAAAAAACCTTAGAAATGTTAAGCTACTTACTCAGGGTCACAGGGATAGTCACTTGCAGAGCATTTATTCTAATCAAAAAGAGTCTAAATTTTAAGTTATTTTATCATACAAAATTGAGTCTTTACAAAAATCAATTCAGTGGCACATCAAGGGACCACTGCTATAGGGAATGCTAGTATTTTATGACGCATAATCTGGTGGATACCTTAAAATGATATTTTAAACAAATATAAACACCAAGATATTGCTTAAAATCATATTTGTTTAACAAGAATGACTCATTTTATTGGACTGAACTATAATTATGGTCTTAACAATTTCATTTTTCCAATTCATGTCTTGAACAACCAATGCTAATATTAGTAGGAAATCCAGGATCTTTCTCTTGAAGCCTCTTCCCCATTTGTCCTGTCAAGAATTAGAACACACTGGGAGCCAAAAATTCAATATTGACTCCAAACCCTTAGTTGATAGAGTCCTGGAACATCTCAGCAGTCCATGAGAATGCCCATAATTACCACTGTGGTGGTTCAGTTACTATTAAATGGTGTCATCACTGAACACTGATCTGAATGGCCCATGGAAGCCTTGTCACAAAAGTGCTTTGGGTACTGAAGAGGATTGGGCTTCCAATATTACTGATTCTGTATTCTTATTCCTAGCCCAAGGATACGGGTCTATTGCACTTTATAGTAAGAGGCACAATCCCAGGAGGAAACAGCCTACACCCAGGACACATAAACCCTTGTTTTAAGCCTAGGTTACAAATTTAAACCTTCTCTTCTTTCACTATGAGTTTGTCTCTAAGGTCCCTTCCTAACAATAGGGCAGATTTTATAAATCTCTCCATTAAATAAGTTCGATAACACTGAACCTCAAGAGCATCTCAATTCCATCTTGTCTAGAAGTATCTTGGCCTCAATAAAAATTTGCTGATCGTATTCACAATGACAAACAGGAAAATACAATGATCCTCATTATTTATTTGGCAGAAATACATCAGTTTATTATCATCCTCAATAATTATTAGTTATTATCATTATGATCAAAAAATATATTAAAAATTTTGCTGTCGAGGGTGATAGACATAATGGGTAGTTTTCTACTTTTCTTCTTCCTGCAATTTTATGACACATATATTATTTTTAAAGTATTAACATATAAATATCTATAAAGAATGTACATTTTCTTTTTGAATACAGACGGCTGGTAAACTCCTTACAGAATACTTGGGCATATTCACCATCTTAGAGTTGTTTGCAGCATTTGTAGTGGTCCACTGGGTAAGGAAAGCAAGACATGGAGGATAATAAAGATGCAGTGAGTATCCCATTTCTCCCTTGGTGAATCAGAAGACACTGGCTTCTGTTATGAACCCCATTTGAAGAACTAAGGTTTTGATAAGAAGTGTCATATTTAAGCTATGAGATCAATGAGATCATAAGAACAACTCAGAAGGAGCAGGAGTTCAAAGTTAACATGAAGGAGACAGTGGTTTGTCCATATGTCCTAGACTGGATATGCAAGGAGGTTTAGGAAAATTCAGCTCCCTTTCCATTTTACCACTTCTAGTCTCACTAATTGGACCCTTTGAACTAGCTTCGTATTTATGCCATAATCTCGTAGGCTGCTATTCTGTCCCTTGACTTTTCCAACTGTATTCTATAGTTTCTCTATAGGAAACACCATATATACCTATAGCTTGGTTAACCACCTATAAATTTACAACCCTAATGCTGAATCACTACTCTAGACCTTTCTATTGAGCTGTGGGCTCATATTTCCAACTGCTTTCTAGAGATTTTGACCCAAGTGATTCCAAAGCACCCCAAATAAAATATATTTAAAACTGAACTAATCATCTCACTCCCAATGTCATTTCTCTATCTCTTTTCCATTTAAAAGCACCACCATCCACTTAACTGCCCTGGCCAATGAGCTGAGAGACAGAGCCAAACCGAAAAAATCTGATAATCTTTTTTTTTTTTTTTTTTTTGAGACAGAGTCTCACTTGTTGCCCAGGCTAGAGTGAGTGCCGTGGTGTCAGCCTGGCTCACAGCAACCTCAAACTCCTGGGCTCAGCGATCCTACTGCCTCAGCCTCCCGAGTAGCTGGGACTACAGGCATGCGCCACCATGCCCGGCTAATTTTTTGTATATATTTTTTTAGTTGGTCAATTAATTTCTTTCTATTTTCGGTAGAGATGGGGTCTCGCTCAGGCTGGTTTCGAACTCCTGACCTTGAGCAATCCACCCGCCTCAGCCTCCCAAAGTGCTAGGATTACAGGCGTGAGCCACCGCGCCCGGCTTGATAACCTTTTTTATATGATCCCTTAAATATACTCTATTCTGTCCTCCTTTTCTTCATCTCTCATAATGAAAGTTTATACAAGGAACACTTAACACATGAGGGCCTTATATTCTAACACAATATTTATTTCTGTAATAATTTAGCCCCAATCTACTTTCTTAATTCCATCTCCCACCACTCACCCCACAAACTCTGTGTTCCAGTCTCATCAATTTTTTTTACCATTTCACAAATATGCCTTGTTTAGTTTACCTTCTTAATCTGTAGATATCTTTGCTTAAGCTTTATTTTGAATTAACCTGATAAAATTAATTAGGAAAGGAGAAGAAATTATCAAACAAATTTTTCCTTGAGTTTCCCACTATCTCTTGACACTCAGAGGCTGCATCTTCACTTGTGCTGCAAAAGTCATTTCCTTTTAAAAACATGGATTAGATGTTACGCCAGAGGAATTAGGGTATTAAAAATACCCTGATATCTGGATCACTGATAACTTTTCAATAAAATTTAGTTAAGTAAGGTAGTAAAATGGGGAGCTGAAGTTCCATCTAAAGGCATAAAACTCATTATCTAGAAAAAAGTATAGTACTAGTTAAAAGCAAAGTAAATAAAAAACACACACCAAACACACATACACATATGTACACACACACGCACACACACACAGAGGTCTCATTCTTAATTCTCTGAATAAAGTGAAAAGAGAAAGGGCATGGATTGAGCATATAAGAACACACAGGTTTCTTCTTAGACTAGATAGAATTTAAACTGATAGGTATTCAATGCTATACTTAATAGTAATCTAAAAAATTATAACAAATCAAATCATAACAAATCAAATATGAGTAGAAAACTATATGTCTTTATGATCAATCCTTGCCTTGGAGACTCTCTCTTTATTTAGCATTGTCTTTAGATTACAACTTAAAGAAACAAAAAAGGCTATAGTAACTGTAACTAAAACAAGAACAGAGACACAGACCTTTAGAACAGGACTGAGAATCCAGAGATGAAACCAATTGCATATGGTAATCTAATCTTTGACAAAACAGACAAAAATATACACTGGGGAAAAGAATCTCTTTTCAATAAATGGTGCTGGGAAAACTGGATAGCTATATGCAGAAGAATGAAACTGGATCCCCACCTCTCACCTCTCACAAAAATCAATTCAAGATGGATAATAGAATTAAACCTAAGGCATGAAACCTTAAGAATTCTAGAAGAAAATGTTGGGAAGACCCTTTCAGACATTGGCCTACACAAAGAATTTTTGAAGAAGACCCCCAAAGCAATCACCGCAGCAACAAAAATAAATAAATGGGATATGATCAAATTAAAAAGCTTTTACACAGCCAAGGAAACTATCATTAGAGCGAATAGACAGCCTACAGAATGGGAGAAAATATTTGCTCTCTACACATCTGATAAAGGGCTGATAACAAGAATTTATCTAGAACTTAAAAAAATCAACAAGAAAAATCAAACAACCCCATCGATAGATGGGCAAAGGAAATGAACAGAAACTTTTCAAAAGAAGACAGAATAGTGGCCATAAAACACAAAAAACATGCTCAACACCTCTAATCATTAGAGAAATCCACATCAAAACCACGATGAGATATCACCTAATTCCAGTGAGATTGGCCTCTATCAAAATAAATCCCCAAACAGCAAATGCTGGCAAGGATGTAGAGAGACAGGAACACTTTTACACTGCAGGTGGGACTGCAAATTAATGCAAACTCTGTGGAAAAAAATTTGGAGATACCTCAAAGAGCTAAAAATAGAAATACCATCTGATCCAGCAATAGCACTATTAGGCATCTACCCAGAAGAGCAAAAGACATTCTATAATAAAGACATCTGCACCTGAATGTTTATGATAGCACAATTTACTATTGCAAGGATGTGAAAACAACCCAAATGCCCATCAATTCATGAGTGGATTATTAAAATTTGGTATATGTATACAATGTAATATTACTCAATTATAAGGAACGACAGTGATCTAGCACCTCGTGTATTTTCCTGGATAGAGCTTGAGCCCATTATACGAAGTGCGGTATCACAGGATCGGAAGAATAGGCTCCACATGTATTTGCCATCAAATTGGCACTGACGAATCAACACTATGCTGCTCACACGGTAGTATTATTCTCCAGGGATTAGAGGGTGGGGGAGTAAACTCACAACTAAAGGACACGGTGAGCATTGTAGAGAGCAAGGGCTTGCCTCTAACCCTCGCTTGAGGCATGCAAAGACATAAAATGTAACTAAAATGTTTTTACCCTCATAATATCCCGAAATAAAAAAAAAAAGAAACAAAAAAGAAGGAAGGAAGGAGAGAAGGGAGGGAGAAAGTGAAGGAAGGGGGAAGGGAAATGTTAAAAGCATCAAAAGCACATGGTTTGATTTTAAAATCTCAGTGATGAGAATATTCCTATTAGAATTCTTTCAAAAATGCTGCCCCAAGTCCAACAGTTCTTTATTTTAGAATGTATTAATTAATAATCAATGTACTAACTTATCTCAGGTTCATGGCAGAAGGGGATCCTTTTCCTGCATATTAAGGGACCATCATGACCTCAGTCGAGGAGGAAAGTTTAGTGGTGAATGAAGAACTTCATTTTGTTCAAGATGCTTCTTGAAAAATGTAATTTAATTACATCCATCTCAGTACTTTCCTTTTCCTATCCCATTAAAAAAATTAAAATTGGTGAATATGGTTATTCTTTTCTGTGTGGAGAGCTAAGCAAAAAATTTATCTTGGGTTGAATATAGTCAGCCTGAGTTAAAGGATTCTCCCATACAAGAGAAATTCTATGAATGGGCACATGTTTCTAGAGTAGAATCCAAATCTAAAATTGCTAGTGATGTAATAAATGTTGACTCAAGGAAATCATTTCATTGCAAAAAGTAAAATTAGCAAGTAAATTATAAACAGTATCATTGCCTGTGAAGGCCTCCTGGCAGATTAGCTCTAAACACTACTTTTAAGTCTGTCTTTCTCACTGGATATTGTTAAAATAAACCTAGCTTACCTATAACAAAAAAGGTATATTACAATTAGCCATATCTTCATGTTATTGAGACTACATGAGTGAATGTGTACTACATTTTAGTTTTTCTAGAAAGTCCAGCTCCCAAAATGTTACATCTTTTTGCCTACAATTTTACTCTATGGCTTATCACACTCTGAATTTTATAAACATTTTAGCTAAATTATATTGTTAGAAATGTTTTGTTGCCTGTAAAGATACTTCTTACGTTTTTAAATTTTCTTTGACCTCCATACCAAACTCCCACTTCCTTCCCTCCATGAGCAACTTCTCCATTGTGTAAAACATAAATATTTTATTTGTAAGTGTCCCCAGAAACTGTATGGCGTTCTATCGTAGGCAGGTATTTGTTGTAATCCATGAAGATCATACACACACATACGTGCACACATACTTTTTTCCTCTTGGCAGTATGTTGTTAAGACCTATCCATGTTGCTATCAGTACATCTCAATCAGTACATCTAGCAGTTGATTTTGAATGCTGCCTAGTAGTCTGTGGCATGTATCCAACATGTTTATACATTCACTGTCCCAGGAATGAACATCTCGGTTGCCTCATCTTACACCCTTGAATAATTTCTCTGGGATATGGGATTCAGCAGCAGAATATCTTTCCTATATATGTATGTGTCATTTGTTCATGAAGTACAAGAATTTTCACCACTTAGAACAGTCTTTTGTTGCAGGTGCTTTATGTTGTGCACTTTTTCCTCAGTCCAGTCTGTATACTTCCAATCTCTTAGGGATTCACAGATTCCAGTCCACCAACTGATGTGGCATGATTACAGGACGGGGGATGAACACAGAACATAAAATAATGACAGAGACACACACAAAGACATTACATGACTTGAGTTCCCAATGTACCAGTCACTTTATTTTTATACTCTCCAGTCCCAAGGTTAGTTCCTTATACGTGAGCATCTGAGCATAGTAGCGATAACCA